TTTCTAGGCTAAATTATACGAAGAATTACTTACTTTTTCCAAATACTCGTAAAATGCACTAACTGAACTCTGAACTCGTTTACTTTTATACCGCAACAAAAATCAAAAACACTAACAATACACTTTCTAATGAAACTAACTACTTTGAACGGATAAGATCGCGTTTATAAAATTATAATTTTAGAAAGGCTCCGTTCATGAAAATATTGGAACAAACTAATAAGCTATTAAATATTAACCCTAATGAAATTTAATAACTATATTTTAAATAAGGCCAATGTTTATTTTTCGACGTAAATATAGTGAATGTAATAATTCACCATGTACGCCTACAAGAGTGAATTATTTATACTTCATTCATTCAGGGAATCCGGAGGAAGTACCCGCTACAGAGACGGGATTTCCCCCAGCGTATTGGACGCGTTCAGCGAAGTTAAAAGGATATTTGTACCGTGTAAAAAGTGTAGATGGCTGTAGTTTTTTGATCTTGATGAAATTATGTAGCTACTAAGCACATTTTTAAAGTCTAGTTTAGGATTTGATCAATCTGTCTCTATCGCACCACCGAGTTCACGTTGAGCCGCTTACTTGCACTTCCATAGCATCTTTCCCCTCACCAGGCAAGGACTTATGCTAGCCAGAACCCTGTCATTCTACCCACTTACTTTAAATCGCAAATAAAATTATAATAAAACTTTACCTAGTTAAACCAAATGCAAATAATATGACACTACAGACAGACAGACTAAGATTTTTTTACTTTCCAACAATATGGGTATCAAATGAAAGACTTTCTAAGAATATGAGGTTTTTGAAGTCCTCGATTATATCCAGCGATCGCTAAAAAGTAAAAAATAAATTAAAAGTTAAAAACTTTTTATAAACAAACTTTTATTTAAATGCGCTAAAAAGAATAAACTGCTGAGAATGAGTCAAGTGACGCTGAAGAACACATTAAAAGTAATACACATTTCATAAAAATATATGAAATTCTATATAGTTGAGTGCAAGGTCAGAGATGTAATGTTATTCTTAATGTATTAAAACTTTTTTTCTTTTTAGATGATAAAATCAGGAACTAAGAATCCTATTATGATGATGAAGAAAGTGATGATGATGAAGATTTATTAATTAATTTAAAGATTTATAATGATATAAAATATTTTACCCATAACTTTTATGTTCACATCATGGACGACCTCCGTGGCCGAGTGGTTTGTACGCCGGGTTTCATGGTGTCGCCGACTCGAGAGGTCCCGGGTTCGAATCCCGGTGGGGGCAGATGTTTGTGTGATGAATACGAGCATTTGTACTCCAGTCATGGATGTTTAATATGTATTTCTATATAAATATACTATTATATGTACAGTATATGTATTCTATCCGTTAACCTAGCATCCCATAACACAAGCCTTATGGTGCTTACTTTGGGGCTAGGCTAATTGGTGTGAGTGTTGGAAATATTTATTTATTTATATTTATTTAATTTGCATGAAAAATATACCGTAAGTTTTCATAGTACAACTCTTACTCGCACTGCCGCAGCATCTTTCCCCTCGCCTGGCAAGGACTTGTGCTAGCCAGAACCGCCTGGCATTCTACCTACTTACTTTAAATCGCTTAAATAAACATATATATAAATTTCAACTTTACAGAATAAAGTTTATTTTTATGTATATAGGGTGAAATTGAATGTTTTAATTAAAACTTCGTGAGATTGTTGGGTTACGTGAAAAGAGTATGCCTGATTTTTTTCGGATTTTTTTGAAGTATTTTTTTTTCATGTTTTTATTTATAATTTGTGTATTTTTATGTCCTTTCCTCCTTTTGAGTAGTTATTCATTTTAAACAAACAAACTTACATATCCAGTGAAAAATAACTAATAAATAAGTACTTCAAAAAATGGAAAAACATTAAAATTCCACGGCGGGTCAACGACCGACCGCGCCCGCCAGCCGTTGAGTGAGTACGTACCTCTACACAGAGTTCAGTTGACTCCTTTGATTCCACACAATACAATAAAGTCGTCTTAGATGCCTTTATTGAAATAATAAGCACAAATGTCATCTTCTCTTAAGCGGAGAAAAACTTTAAAATTTAATAATAATTTTGTCACGATTAGAAATAGGCAAATGTTAAACAAAAAGAAATACTTATTGCAGTTCAATACTTGGGTGAAATTTATAACCCGGTATTCAAAAGTACTTATGAGACCGATGTACCTTCATTTTTTTCACTTAAACTTCCCGTATACACTTTGTAAACACAATCAATCACCAAACCTACTTTCGTAAAGCCTTGTGGCTCTGCTGAGTACACCGTGACACTACAATAACAACACACCATATCCAACTTCTTATATTGAGGCCACAGAACAAGAACTAATCATGGCATTATTTGCAAATCTTCTCTTGTCACAAATTTAAAAGATACGCACGCGCGGTGGATAAACTTGACACTGCGCTCGCTCACTGCGCTTTGCACCGCGCATAGGTAGGTATTCAACAGATTCAACGGCGGGAGCGGTCATTGCTCTCGAACGCTCGTCTTCTGTTTTTACGTTTTTTTAGTAGTGCTAATTAGTTGTTTTTTACTAACTCTGTATGCGTGTTTAAAAAGAATAATTATTTAGTACCCAAAAGGAGATTAAAATATAACAAAAAAAAACGATTTTTTTTAAATCATTTTTAAAAAATCCGAAAAAATTCAGAGATACTCTATATACGTAACCCAATAATCCCACGAAGTTTCATTGAAACATTCAATTTAACCCTGTATATTACACACCTTCCGGTTCGTCTGGCAGGTACTTGTGCTCATCGTAAACGCCTGGCATTTTTTTTTAAACTTAAAAATTAATAAAATAAATTGTATAAAAATTTCAAGCTTACAGCTACAGGTTTTTTTTTAAATATTTTTTGACACTTTCAAAAATATACGGCTTGATGACGTGCAGGGCTGAGGAGTGCCAGACGATGCTTACCGTACTAAGAATGCTATGACTCATTACCATGAGAATTTCTAGACTTACAGACAGACCGTTACTCGGAGGGTTTAGAAGCTCTCCTACTATAATGACAGTCGTGTGGCGTCACATACTAGTAAGACGCAATAATGTCCAGGAAAAAGTTTACGCGGCAACTTGAAAATTGAATTTTTAATTTAGTTTTTTACTGAATTTCACAACATAATTAAAAATTTACACTCCATAAACATGAGATCGTTTTCTTAAACTTGTCAAATACCCTATTACTGAATTAAAAAATGTTTGCAAAAAATATGTTAATTCGGTTAAAGGAAAACTCCAAAAAGTATAAATAAAATAAATGATAATCCACGACATTTGTGTTACTTATTAATATTCGTATCTCCTGAAAAGTTTTATGACGATTTCCGCTTTATGATCAGAAGAGCGCGGCCGACAAACGTATTTTTTAATTTCGTTTTCAATTTGTTGCCGGCCATCCTTCACCTATCTACCGTGAAATTTTGGCGCTGTACGAAAGGAAAGGAAGCCTGGCTACCTACCTGCTAAGCCCCACTGCGAGTTTTCCCGTTTTCTTTGAGATACTGGAAGTTATTAAGTCTGCAATAAGAATGGACTTTGTTGAATTTGCATCATAGAATAAAAATTAAAACTCATTTTCAAAGGAATAATATTTTTATTATCAATGCGTTAATAATGATGGACTAGGTAAATAAATGATTCTATTCGGTTTCTACTCGAAACCAATAATCTTAGATCATAAGAATAGAATAAACAGTAGGTACTCTCAGTTGGTACTTATTATATCCAAGTAAAACAAAGCCCCCATTTAGTAAATAGGTAATATTAATTAAATAATTGTTTTTGGTTATATATATAATTGTAATTTTCTAAAGTTACTCATATTTGTGGCACATAGCTAATTAGATTCATGCTTGTTGGCAATTTTTTTACATTATTAAATTGTATTTTCATCCCACCACCTCGGAAAGTGTAATTTTGCGCTTCGAAATCTGGCTGGAAAATTCTATTTTATTCGCTTGAGCGGCAAAGTAGATTTGAATTTAGAACATCACATATAATGAGTACTTAATATAATTGTAAATTCAAAACGTCATTAAACCTATTTAATGTAACCTCTATGGTGCCAAATTTATGATTAGAACTTTTTAAATTGTGAAAAAATTTAAATTTGGAACCTTCTTGGTTTCTTTGTTTTATTTGCGTGCTTCGCGCCATTCTAGTTTTTCACGTTTTATTGCTTAAATATTTTGTCATTATAAATTGTTTTCTTTTTCATTTTGTCATTTCCTCGCTGAGGTGGGATGAAAAGTTACGTATTGCACTCGAGTGGAAAGATTTTTCACCTTGTGCTCGTTTGTTTCCCTCGCTGACGCTCAGGATTCTAATTTAGAATCACTCGCTGCGCTCGTGATTCAACTTTAGAATCCTTCGCTTGCTCGGTCATCCAAATCGAGCACGCGGTTAAAAAGGAACTTTCCACTCTTGTATAATAAATAACTATTACTTATGCACTTAAATATAAAAATATTTATTGGTAAGTACTTACTTAACTATAGGATGGTCATTTCACTACGTATATATAGTATTAAACAATAAGAAATTAGTCCACAGTTTGTCCTTGTCAAATATATACTAGTACGATGTTTATATGTCAAAATAAACTATATTTTCTATGGTTGAGCAACGTGCGTTCTTAGTTTGTTTTTGATATAGTATAAAAGTGTTTTCTATATCTATAGGTAGTTAGGTATAAACATCGTCTCAGTACCTTCTTAACTGTTATAATAATAGTTAAGCTTATACATAGTTAGGCTAGATTTGAGCAAATGTATTCGGGACCAAAAGTGACACACTAATGATAGGTCAAATCCCGATTTTAAATGCTATGTAACTTACACATAGTGATAAAATGCTATTAAAAGATATAAAAAGAAAAACAGTTTATTTCAAACTTCTATAGGAAAAAATCTATGTTTAACAATTATGTATAATATATGAAGGGAGTGTTAAAATTAAGATTCTAGCGTGAAACGGGAGCGCATGCTCATGTGAGCATGAGTAGTACAAATGTTACGCTATGCCTTCTATCTTCACCATGATGAACAATTTACCACGTAGTCGACGTCATGATTGGCCCTAGCTCGCTGAATTCTTGGCCATGAATCGGTAGCGATCCCGCCAGCAGTGCACTTGGTTGGAAATGCGGGAGACGTCCGCCGCGTAAGTACGGCAGCATCCGCCCACGTACCGAACGCCCAGATCCAGCCATTCTTGGATGAACACCTCCACAGACTCGCACTTGTCACGGTCGATCCAACTGGAAAGTTTAAAAAAATAAATCAAATATTGTTATTTAGGGTACTGTAACATAAAATGAAAAAAACAGAATCCTTATAGCTTCACTTTTTTGTCCGTTTGTCCGTCTGTTTGTCAAGACCCTTTTCCTCGGAAACGCATAGAACTATGTAGTTAAAAAAACTCTTACTTAGGTCTACGGTCCCTTGAAGCTGTGAAAAAATCAAACATCTAACTAAGTTAACTCAAAACAAAGATAGTTATGGGTATTATGTTGCGTACCTACAATTTTTTACGGAATCCTTAGTGGGCGAGTCTGACTTGGACTTGACGGGTTTTTTTAACAGTCACATCAATTTAGCTTGCCCCAAAGTACCTAAGTACTGAATGGCTTGTGTTTGGGATACAAGGGTAACGGATAAAAAACATACTGATACATATAAAATTTAACTGTTGTGAAGATACGATTAGGTTTTATTTGTTTATTTTTTTCAAATTCCGCCTTTATAAGTTGCCTTGCCTGGTGGCTTAACTCTGTGGAGTCATACCGATTTCCCACCCCGTGGAGTTGTTCCAATCTTGCTTGCTACTAGAAAACTCAGCTCTAAAGATCTAAGTAACACTTTTTAATTTGAAACTTTTATTACATCGCCACACATTTTTTCGTTCATCTTTAGCAAGTCGTATTATATTTTTAATTGTGATTACAAAAATCCTGACTATTGCAACAAGCATTGGTGGTGCAGTGGTAGAAAGATCGGCTGCCACGCGAGCGGGCTGGGTTCGATTCCCAGCCGAGGAAGGGGTTTAATTTTTATTTTTCAAGTGTTATAAGCTGTAGTTACATTAAATTCGAATAATTCTCCTAATATTTTCAGTCTACGATCCGAAAAAGTTAAGGCGATGTAAATCACTTTAAAAGTTTCACTTGCATCGTAGTTTCATGATCATCAATGTTATGATTTTGTTAAACAGCCTTGCTACATGATTTATCTGTATTGCTTACAACTTCACGATGGAAAGAGGAACTGACATTCGTAATAAAGTGAGTAGACGCGCGTAATAAACTGGGCACCTTATCTAGAATACCGTTAGTAACTAGGTACCTACTACATGTAGGCACGTACCTACATACTTACTACCTGAAACGAGAAAATGGCTGTTTGCCCTCAAAGAGGTCTGACGTCTTATCTTTGCGCGTAATCTTACCCGATTTGAGGGTTGTATTTTTCTCCTGAATTGGGGTAGACGATAAGTGGTATGGGGGATTGCGGCCGGTCGTCATTGAACCCTTTCATTAGGTTTGACACGAAGGAAGGAGCGCAGCAGTTAACCCCGACAGCTACCAGTTGATCGGGATTCGATTCCCAACATTTTTTCGCGACCTTCTGGAAACTCTCGCCGTGTGCTATGCTTTGATTATCCTGTAACAAATAAAGGATATTCTATCAATTAATGCATAAGCAATATCACTGAACTTAATGTGTGCAATAATTTGTATGCATTAAGTTCACACGCAAAAATGATCTTTAAGGCCTGCGTGGGGATCTTAATCCAACACCTACGTGTGGAGGCCATTTTATTTTAAGCGACATTACTTTATATATGATGTGGTATACGCATGCTGGATATAATCTCTGACCACATCACATCATACTGATATACTTAGAGACTATCCCCAGCTTGTGTAGGGAAAACTATGGGATCTACAGGTATGACATTAGTGGGTTATTGTGTTGGAACTGGATGGGCTGGAATCTGAGCTATGGAAGGAGACTAACCCGTCACCTGACTGGCAGGTGGTGACTAACCGGAGACTATTGGACTCCCAATGGCAAGGGAGCAACATGGTCATCCTCGGTCACGGGGATGGGGGGTGTAGTAATATATCACGTGTATTTTCGTGGTACGAGGATACTGTACATTAAATAATGTTCATGTATTAGTACGAAAAACAGGGGGAGGGGGGGTTAAAAAATGCCAAAAAAACATCACGTGATTAAGGGACGCCCCCAAAAGGCAAGCCAGGGGTAAGATCCTGCAGATCCTCTCGGATTCCACTCCGGTAAGCCGGATATGAGGATCTTGATCGGTTCTCGGGAGCACTCTGATTTACCCGTGGTGTCGCCACTGACCAAGAGCTCGCCAAAAAGCTGCCCTGGCTTTTTATAATACTGTAGTACATGCGATGTCGCACACAGCACACAGCCTTACAAAATAATGCTAAAGGTAGTGTAGGTAGACAAAATACAAAGTTTTCATAAAAAATTGCGAGTTCACTGTACAGAATATTTAATTCAAATATGTATAAAAACTCCGTTTCATCTTCCTATTTACATAAAAATAAAATATCTGTTTAAATAAATTATGCAAAATAGATACCTACATTTTTCATTAAAGTAGTTTAACAGTCGTGATGACTCAGTAACAATAGAGACTTTCGATTTAACAATGGTAAGTCTATTTATATGCAAATAGCCTTTAATTACAAATATTTTATAGACCCTTTTCTACCTTTTTCAACTGTTCTTTAATATCTATGACATAGCTCTGTCTGTGATATATGGAAAAGAACTTATTAATGACAATAATAAGTAATACTTTTATTAATACAGCGAGCCCTTCATAATTCATCACCCTCAATTATCGTGCTCGGACGTTGTGTGCAGATAAAGAATACAACCAACATCCAAACTCGTTTCCATTTTGCAAAACTCAATAAATCCCAATTAAATAAACATTTAGTTGTTACTGTTACGTAACTATCAATACAGCCTGGGGCGCACCGTCAGTCAGTCAGATATGGAGGCATAACTGTCGAAACAATAATATATGTAAACTGTTAAATACACATAACATGGCATTAATAAAATAAGGACACCGTTCTGTCTCGTCTGTGCCGAAACCGTTAACAATAAAGTTATTAGGTACCTAAAATAACAATTTGAAATATTTTCTTTAACAAAAAAAAACAAATTAATAACGTATCGACCGCTATGGCAATGGTAAATGGAAAGGGGACCTAAAAAGGTCATATTGTGCAATATTGCTAAAAGTAATTCATCTATAGAATTCCTTGCAGATCTTAAGCAATTCCTCTAATTTTCGTAAAATTGTCACTTAATTTAGCAATATTGCATCAATTCAGTTCATTATCAGATTCAGATTTAGGGATCATGTTGCCACATGCAAATATTATAAACCGATCTTAATCGAAGTTTATCGGTTATTAGGTTTTTTGAAAAATTTGCTATTTAATGTAGTGAGCCGATCAGGATTTAATAAAAATTGGTTATTAAAAAATTTAGTTAACTATTACAAGTTGAAATGTTTTTATTTTACTATTTAATATTGAAATATCAAAAAGTTCCGACTTTCATTTACGACGCTTACTGGCAATAAGTTAACGTCAAGTCAACCTTAAAAAAAACAAGAACTTTGTTTTGGTTTTTGTCGAGCATAAAAACATAACATATTTCTAACTGAAACCGAACTAAAAACGGAAACTTGATATAAATTTGTGTTCACACTTGAAACCCTCCGTTTTAGAGTTAAATAAATCTGAACTAACTTGGGGTGTTTCTCTTTATACTTTGGTTTGGTTAAATATTAGGTAGGTGCGTACTTGGTAGTTGAAATTATAAAAAAAGTAGGCATCAACAGAATAGATAATTCGACTTTGCAACCAATCTATGTTAGATTCCACAATGATCGTGAACCGATATATTTTTCAAAAACCAAATAAATACAATCCTTTGGTTATATTGTAGTCATGTCTAGACAGTCAACTACTGACGCAGTTCTATTTCATTGTTGGTATCATATAACTCGTAGTTTATTCAGTATTACAGTGTAATAACAAACTATCATCCACGTATACAAAATCCACTTGTTCTACATATTTCATTTATTGACATGATCGTTTGTTTTTTGTAAACGATTTAGATATTTCCCCCGCTGCATCATCGACATTTTTAGTAGGTACTGTTAAAACCTCTTTCTTTGTTTTTCTGTAGTTTACACCTAATACCTATGTGCTTCTGATTACCAGTAATGGCGTACATTTCAGAAATCTGCTCCAGGTTACGGCGCTGGCAGCCGAGAATAAAATTGCGCGCATCCCTGAGGAGTTGTATCCAACGTACCTAACTATGTACAGCATGAGATCTATCGACTACTCTGGTATGCAGACAAATAGCTTCTTGTGAATTCTAGAATTTTAATTTTCTTTTTAACATCCACTTCCTTAACTAAGTTATTTTGAATTTTTTTAGGTACCTACAATTTAATTCTTACGAGAACGTTTATAAGTATCTGCACGTGCTTCTATTTGGGAGTTTGGGGCGCATCTAAGGTTATTATCGAACATCATAGGCCATCCACAAATTATTTCAGTAATACTAGACTAGTGTTCAAATATACGTATTGTAAACTATGGGGTATTTTTAAAAAGTTTTTCACCGAAAATGTTTGTTGGTTTTCATTTCCTAGTGTTTCCTATCGATACAGTAAGAAGTCCGGGTCTAGTGTCTTGTAACCAATTAAAATTACGGCGCGTCAAAAATAAGACCACTAAACACGTGCCACGTGCAAGCCACGCGTAATGTAGAGTTCTGTAGTTACCTATCTATCATCATGGCATCATGATCATGTTCAACTCTTTAAAACACTAAAAAGGAAAGTGCATATTGTGAACCTATCGAAAACTGGGTAATCTTACCAATATTGATTTGTATAATATTATTGCATGTGAGTTTCCTAAGTCTAACCTATTTCAAAGAAATGTATCTCCAACTACACTTTGAACAAGTTGCATTAGTTATTTATAAACCCACTCAATACAACCACAAAATAGAGCTTATAATATGAGCGATAATACAAACAACCTTGGTGTAAACTTCAGCAGCCCATATTTTATCATGTTATGCCCACATATTTAGAGTTACAATTTGGTTTTATATTATTGTAATTGCTTTGTTTCTTTTTCAATATAATTGTAACTTGTTTTGTGAGCTAATAATAAATAAAAAAAAACCTAAGGAAAATTTTATACTTAGATCAAAGGACATTGGGCAAAAATGTATGGACGCACCCACGTCCGCCACGGCTTAAACTACATTTGTTTGAAAGGTATTATAGTCATGATCATCTGTACTAAAGCGCATTAAATTCCATCCCGGTCTTTAGTTATTTTAAGTTAAATAGGTACAAGTACTATAACGAACGAACATTAATGAAACAAGGGAATTACTTAAGTTAGTAAGACCCTACATAGGGGGGAAAGTATCCTATAATACCTCAGGTATTTCACAAGGTGCAAGGGTGCCCCCTTAAGTTATTTTGCCGCGCTAGAGTAAATCCAAAAATCCCCGCATGGGTTGGAGTTTTTTCCAACGTTCTGTTCGTTATAGTAAATTGTCTTCTATGTAAAACGGAGCGACCACAAATCACACAAACTTGTCCACGATTCGGAGAAAACATAATTCCAATTCATCCATACTAATTGACAAAACCGATAATCGTGTTCCAATGTCCAAAGCGTGTAAAATAAAAATCAATCGAGTGTGTGTACTTTGGTGTGATTGTGTGCTCCCTGACACCACAGGGAGCGCACAATCACACCAAAGTAAGACGAGTCGACTATTTGCAACTGCAAGTCCTTCAACCCCCGTAAACCGTTCTGAGGTGGCTCAGTAAGTATAAGCGCAGGATGGTCGGCAGGCTTTGTCGTATATCTGGTTGTATAGTACGGTATGGTATATTATTATGGTTACTAATAATATAAAATGAAGGTACTATAAAAATAATTTATTTAGCTACTTAAATATACCCATATATATGACACTTTTGACTACCAGGATATTTTTACGGTGTCATATCTTTTGATTACCAGGATATTTTTTTACGGTGTCATAATAAAAAAGGTAGTGGGGAGTAAGGGTAGAACGGAGTTAACATCTTATCCGGACCAACTGTCAACCTCACCTGCACGCGTCACGATGACAGCGACGGTTCTTTCGTTGTGGTGCTCCCTGCTAGATAACTGACGAGGCTCTGGCGACCGAGCAATGGCGGTATAACCATATACCCAAGCAATTGGAAGAGGCGACAGCGACCTTGAAGCTTAAATAACTTCTAAAAAGGCTGGTGCAGAAGGCAACGGGAAACCACTGCACTATTTTTTCCTAGTCAAATCAGTCATGATAAAGTCAATAAAAATCGCGGCCCCGAGTGGCCGGCGTCCCTTTGATGGGACAGGGGTGCGAAGAATCTCCGGGCGGACCCTTAGAATAGGCATATGGAACGTTCGAAGTCTTAAAAGTCCTGAGAAGATGCATAATGTCACAAAGGAGATGGAACGTCTGAACATTGATATTTTGGGTTTGAGCGACGTAAGATGGCGGGGGAGTGGAAAACACCAAATAGATGCAAGCCACATTATGTATTACTCTGGGTCGGAGGCCTCCTCGAATATGCATGGAGTTGGAGTAGTAATTAATATAGAAAGCGTAAAAGCCCCCACTTTTATGCCGAAATCTAACCGATGCATCCTCTTATCGATAGAAGCCAAACCAAGGAACATCAATATTATTCAGCTGTATGCACCAACCACTGATGTGTCAGATCAGGATATAGAAGAGTTTTATGGCGAGACAGAAAGTTTGCTTAACATTTTAAAGAAACATGATATTAATATAGTTATGGGTGACATGAATGCGAAAGTAGGAGCAGGTGAAGTCCAGGGAATCGTTGGAAAATATAGTCTTGGTATAAGAAACACAAGAGGAGATACACTTGTCCAATTTTGTCAAGAGCAAGAATTGACAATAATGAACACTTACTTCCAATTACCAGCCAGAAGATTGTATACTTGGACGTCACCTCGGCATACTCCTGAACACATAATGCGGAACCAAATTGACTATATTATGATTAACAGACGTTTCCGTAATAGCATTAAAAGTGCTAAAACTTATCCTGGGGCCGATATCAGATCAGACCATAATCCTGTTGTTGCTGAGTTGTCATGCATCCTTAAGAAAATACATAAGAGACAAGTTAGGAAAAGGACTAATATAGCACTGATTAAGGAACCACATGTTCGGGCTATGGTTTCTAATGAAATCAATGAGTGGGCGACAATGGCCAAACAGGACTTGTCTGATTCGGTGGAAGAAAGTTGGTTTAATTTAAAATCTAGGGTTCATAAAGTTAACAACGAAATTCTCGAGTCAAAAGGTTGGGCACCTTAGCATCCATGGATGAACGCAAAGATTTTCGAACTTATGGAACAACGAAGATTGTCTAAAGCTGACAAAGAAAACTACAATCTTATAGATAAGAAAATTCGCCGTGAAGTTCGTTATGCACGTGATTACTGGTATCGGAAAAAATGTGAAAATCTTGAAGAACTCCAAAGGAAACATGATGCGTTCAATCTGCAAAAAGAGATCAAGGCAATGGTTGGTCACAAAAATCCTGTATACCAACTTTGGGACAACAATAATCATCCAATGCTTGACTTGACTCAGAAGAAGCACCTATGGGAACAATACATCGCAGCAATGTTTTCAGACGATACAAGAAGTGCCACCCCACCACCTTGTGACACAGATGGATATCCTATCCTAAAAGACGAAGTCACCAAAGCACTGAATAAAGCTAAAACAGGCAAAACAACAGGCCCGGATGATGTTCACATAGAGATACTAAAATTAATCGAGCAAGATAATTTATGTGCCTTAACAAGACTGATGAACCTTGTGTATGACACTGGCGTATTTCCTGAGGACTGGCTTAAATCAATATTTGTCACTCTGCCTAAAAAGCCGAATGCTAAAAGATGTGAGGAATACCGAACTATTAGTCTTATGAGCCAAGTGCTCAAGTTGTTCCTCACTATCATACACGAACGCATAAGAGTGAGATGTGATGAACAACTTAGTGATAGCCAATTTGGATTTCGAGCCGGAGTAGGTACACGGGAAGCACTGTTTGCTGTACAGGTTCTAATACGGAAATGTAAAGATATGCAGCAAGACGTCTATCTCTGCTTCATAGATTACGAGAAAGCGTTCGATCGAGTTCTTCACGAGCGTTTAACGTGCATCTTACGCGACATAGGACTCGACGGAAAAGACATCAGAGTTATTCAAAATCTGTATGTGCCTGCCGCCCGCGGGCGGTCAAAACTTGTCAAAACTACAAGTGCCCGCCACCCGCACCTCTTACGGTCCCCGTTTTCGTTCTCCCCCACACCCTTTACCCCGCAAGCGAGGACTCAGTTAAGCGATCTACCTATATATGCATATACCTACATATTACCCCAATTGTCTCGTCCACACCCTTTTGTACCCTGCAAGCGTTTTACCAAGGCAACAGAGAACAATGGAATGAAAGTTCTTATTCCTAGATAATCTAGGTATATTTAGCCTAGTAAAAATAGTAATAGTATTTCCGACCAATATTCAGCTTTGTGCGAATTATGTAACCTATCTATAGTTGAACTAAAGAGTTGGTTAGTTAAGGTTTAATTTCTATACATAAGTAAATAAAAAAATAATCCCTATTTCTCTTGGTTACTTACCCATCTTTTTTTTAAGATTACCAATACTTACTACTTTTTTTTTATCGCCAGGTAGGCAATTGACTCTACCCCTGATGTTAAGTGGTGATAAAGTCCAAACTTAGTAGGTACTTTGTGGAAATTTCTGACCAAAAAAAGGAAAATGCGCGGAACTAAATATAACTGGAGCGAAGCGAAGTTGCGGACAAAATCTAGTTATCTATAAACTTCACATACCTTGCAACTAAAAGAGAGCCAAGCCTTCATGCCAGGGAACTCGCGCAGTAAATCGCAGAGCATCTCGGCTTCCTCCTGGCAAGGGATGGTTTCCAGGGCCAGCAGGTCCACACCAGCCTCCACCAGCGCCTGGATACGGGGTAAGTGCCATTCGCGCATTGTCTGAAATGTATAATAAATAAATAAAGATTTCTAAATTTCACCCCAATATTATCCTATCCCCAAAGTAAGGACTATAACTTCAATAGAATTACATGCTCCCCTAGCATGAGCACTGTGATATGATATATAACGCGTTTTTATCACGTTCAGTTGTCAAATTACTATGTAGTTTGACGCGATAAATAACGTGATATAAGTGGGGCTCATGCTACGGGGACTGGTGTAAGATCACTTTTGAGGAAATCTAATGAAGAGCTGGCGAACAAAACGGTATAATTACATAAAATTAAATTTTACAGGAGCTGTATAAAACTAAATGACATAGGTACAGTGAGCTTTTGGCATGGTTTTTTTGGCTCATGCTACGGGGACTGGTGTAAGATCACTTTTGAGGAAATCTAATGAGGAGCTGACGAACAAAACAGTATAATTACATTACATTTCCATGGTAAGATAACCTTATATTACCGGGATTATTATATTACTTTCTGTACCCCAAGCACGAACTTTATTCAAATCCGTATTTGTATCGCCTCCATATCAAAGTTTCTATGGAAAATATACACCGGGCGTAAGAAAATAAAAAAAACTTTTCCATAGAAATTTTTAAAAGGCGATACAAATACTTTTTCGCTAGTTGTTTGTACTTTGGGTACTGATAGAAAGCAACTTATTATAACACTTTTCGCCTTGTAGGTTTTTGCTATCTTAATTTGTATTCATCATACAATCAACTCATTAATATAAGCTTTTTTAGGAAGCATTTATCATTTAAAATTAGAGATTTTCGTATCAGATTTAACGTTGTTCTGAAAGGCTATTATTAGGTAGATACCTACATGCTTAATTAAATTAACCTAAATTTTATTCGGTGACATGACACAGATCTATTCTTTCATGTTTTCTATTTTAACAAGTACCGACCTTTGAATAAACAAATTGTATTTGATCGGATGAGCTTCTTAATTTCCTTAGCTTTAGAATATTAATTAAGCATCGCCCAAAATATCTGATTCATACATATTATACAATCATTATAATGAAACATGAAGAAACACCCCTTTTAAACATATTTGCGCACGGAACAGCGTACCTACTCTTCGACAGAGGAATCTCATTAAAATTCAGTTCAGATCTAATAAGGTTAAAAAAGGAAACATTAACCATCTTCAGCGCAGTGGGGCAAAAGCTGATTCTCACTTAGTTTTTCGGTATTATTTGATATGAGCAGGTAATAAAAAAAACTCACTTTTCACCTTGGAATCCGCGGCATGATTTAAAATTAGGCCACGAATCTATCTATATATATAAAACTCAAAGGTGACTGACTGACTGACATAGTGATCTATCAACGCACAGCCCAAACCACTGGACGGATCGGGCTGAAATTTGGCATGCAGGTTGATGTTAGGACGTAGGCATCCGCTAAGAAAGGATTTTAATCAATTCTACTCCCAAGGGGATAAAATAGGGAATGAAAGTTTATATGAAACTTTGTCAATTTTAAACCGATCGGGCTGAAACTTTGCATGCAGGTATAAGAAGAATCATAGATTAATAGAATAATGATTAATGTAGAATAACTGTCAATTGTGTATAATACAAGCCTGAGAACAAAAACTGTAGTCTACAGCTCAGCTTATAAATAAATGTGAAACTATAGTAGGTACTATAATTATTATCATACATGCGAAAGTTTGTATGTTTGTTACTCAATCACGAAAAAACGACTGTACCGATTTGGATGAAACCAATTGGCACGCATTTGGTTTATTACCTGAATTGAGACATGGGATACTCGTTATCCCAGAAAAATGCTAGGTTGCTAAGGGGTTCTCAAAAAACTAAAGTTAACGCGGACGAAGACGTGGGCGCCGCTAGATTCAATTAAATTTCAAATCACACTAAAAATTTGTTTTTACTGAATAGTACTGCAGGTGACTTCAGTAATATGTATATATAATGCAAGTAAGTAGAAGCTACGCTAGCCTACAGGAAACAAATGAAAAATTCTTGAACTTTCTTCTACAAGGAAGGTTTACAAACTGAACCATACTTAAAGCAATTTCATATTTCCATTTGAACCTTCGAAAGTATAAACATTTTGGCATGTTCTCCCGTCAAAAGTAGTCTGTAATAAGTACTTGTGAATTCTCCGTAAGCACAGTTAAAACACTTCAGTTTCCGAATATTGGTGAGCGGAAAGGAAAATAATTAACAAATTCCCACAAGAGATAATTAAATTACCATATTTGATATCGAACACAAATAATGCGGTTGGGAGAATATGCTTTTGATATTGAATACCTACTACGTTGTAAAAATGGTTAACCAAAACGTGTCAATGTCAGAAAGAGGGATACCTACCCCAATGTTGGTATCTAATTATATCTTTTGAAAAGCGATATTGAAAATTTGGGTCAAACTTATTTAACATAATATTTTTAATTAATAACACATGTAGTAACCGGAGCAAATTAATAGGATCGCCAGCAAATTATGCTGAAGAATTGTTTGTTACTCCATGTTTGTTTTTGATAGTCATTTGTTCTAGGCTTCGTTAATTAACTGTCCACCCCAGTCAAATGCTTTCGGTTGGAAAAAAGGCGACGAATGGCGAGGGAGTTTTTCATATTGTCGATGTAAATTTTAATTTGCCGGCAACTTTACGGCCCTCTTTACGATTTAGCTGCCGCTTTCAACCTTTATTAGGCTATGCATTCATGGCGTCCAGGGTTCAGTAGAGGCAATCACAATCGTTAAAATGTTAATTAAAAAGGTACTCGATCTTTATTATGTTTAGTGATTTTAGACGGTTGCAATTATGGTTGTTTAATGCAAGTTGATTAATGACAATGAAGCTTGCATATTATTATACCTTTACACTATGCCTGCGCAGAAGAAGGACTTATGTCCGCATACTTTTTTGTCCGCCAAAATAGATCGCTTAAAATTGCAACACACGCGAGGAATTAAAAATCCCCCGCAGTCGAGGATACCTAATAAGAAAAATACGCAGCACAGCAACGCACACAGCGAACTTTCGTTTTCGTTGCGCGCTCGATCCGATATATATGTGTATAAATAGACCTAGTATTTTCCTCCAAAACGTGAACATAAATTAGCATTTTAAAGTTCAATATTTCACAAACGGATCCCTAAATCGAAAAATAGTCTTAGAAAACTCCTTAGTAATTTTAAAGGACCTATTTAACGATATCCCACAAGATGGGGTAGAGATGAAAAAAAAATCATCCATAGGTTACAGCTACCCCAAAAAAAAAAAATTCTAAATTTTATTTTATCATTTTGTCGGCGTGATCAATATACATATCGCCACAAAATAACAGCTTTCTAGTGCTAATATTCTACAAGCAAAACCGGAGCCGGACAGATGGACTTGACGAAACTATAAGGGTTTCTTTTTAGGACTATGGAACTCGAATCTCGCCCTCGAGGATTCCGTACCCTCGTACATTTGAAATACTTAAAACGTCGAAAATACCTCGTGTCCAGAATGGGGATTATATATTTACAATATTTATTATTATTTGGTGATAGCAAGTGGCGTAAAATACTTGCTTAACCTTTTCTGTGAAACAATCTACTTACTGTTCACGTGAATGTTAAACAGCCCGATTACGGGCTGACGAACGATCGGATATCTTTGCAGAGTTTTTATTAATAGTTGTATAAATGTTGATATAGTTCTACGAGTAAGCACCTTATAAGTAGGCACTTTAATCCTAATCACCATTTTCTTTTATTTAAATGTCTTTTTCAACACATTTGCTCAAAAAATGCATTTACGGAAGTTGTATACATTGTTTGAAACTTCAAAATTACGGTCCAAACAACGGAGCTGACGAAGCGTGCGGTAAGGAGGAACGGAGCGTGCGGTAAATAATTTTTACGGTTTTTTTTTATTTCGATCGAACTTCATTGGAAGCCCTATTCATCTATACCTTCGTCTCACTATAATATTAAAACGAAAAAGAGACGTTAGATGTAGTTCTAAATTTCACCACCGGTAGGTGGCGCCATTTGGAAATACGCGCCATTTTCTTATTAGAAAAAGTTTGCTTTATTACTTAAATTATTTGCCTACACTGTTTTCTCGCAAATTTGTTGAACAAAGTTGTATGGCATTCGCCTTCGACTTTGTCTCGGGCTTACATTCGTCTACTCGTTTGTAATAACTAACTTACCGCACTGATGTCATAAATAACTATTAAACTCCACATTGAGTAGGTACTCTATATTATTATAATAGACGAAACTGGTATTTCATCCATATCGTTGATTACATTACTAAAACTTCAGAACAATACCTTGTGTAAGTATGTCATTAGGTACCAACCTATATTCTCACGCAAAATGGTGTAAACGGAATTGCTACTGTATACGAAACCAACATGCTTTAATAATTTTGCCTAAGTATCATTTTGTTATGCCGTGTTCCAGTGTTAACATTACGGCTTTGCCATTTCTAAACAGGTAAATCTCATTTACGTTGCCACGAAGTAAGTACGACGGCAATACTCGGAAATCTCTAAATCACAGTGAAACGTGGATACAATCTATACTAATATTATAAAGCTGCACAGTTTGTTTGTTTGTTTGAACGCGCTTATCTCTGGAACTACTGATCCGATTTGAATGATTCTTTCAATGTTGGGTAGTCCATTTATCGAGGAAGGCTTTTCAAAATTAGGGATCCGTAATAAAATTGCTATTTTGTAACACAAGGTGTAAAATCGAAAACCTATTTTTGCGTACGCTGCAAAAACTATTGACAATAGAACAAAATGATGTACTACGGGTTTGTAGATCCCATTAGAACGTACAAAAAAGTCCGCGAGAACATATATCTAGCTGTCATGGTTTAATCACAATAACCGATTTTGTGTTCAAAATAATTATTAAATCGTCTGAAGAAAAAAAAAACTACGTTAAATAAGTATCGTAATATTAATCTTTATCAAAATTAAGCATTATGT